ATAATAATAATAATAATAATAATAATAATAATAATAATAATAATAATAATAATAATAGTAATGGTAATGGTACAAACTGAATTATTTCTCCTAAATAAGGAAGACCTGGGAAGACCCCTAAACAACTTAGCCCAGGTCATCAGTTTCTCAAATTTATTCCACCTACAGAAAAAAAGGCATATCCTACGAGACAATGTGCCATTTGCAGCCATGTGAGCAATATATAAAGGAAAATTACAAACATCTGATTCGTTTTAAAATAATTTTTAGTTAAATTGTCCAATAAATTTAATATATGAACAAGGTAAAATAATTAATCTTACATTATTTCACTGTATTTATTTATCTTAGGTATGTCTTAATCCTTCAAATAGTTAAATAAATGTTACTTGTACCATGCCAGAGATAATTCGGTACCAATTTAGAAAAGGCAAATTTGAATACCTCTAAAAATTAGGCATATATTTAGACATTATTTCTTTACAAAATGATTTTCAGTTAAATAATAAAAATAGCTTAAAAAAATTCAATAGTTATCACTAAAAATTTTAGAAAGTTTTAGTATGAAGCTAAAGGATAAATCCACAGATAGAAATAAGAATCACATATTACCTTAGAGCAGGGGACGGAGACTCTTTTAGTAAATCAATGCTAAATCTTCGCAACCATTCAAGCCAATCATCTTTTGAGACTCTTCTAGTAGCAGTCCAAGCACGCTGGAGGTTAGCTTCTGACACGTGTAGCTGCATTAAAAAGAAAAGCACAAACCATAATATTAATTTATACACATATTGATTTAAATACTCCTAGCCATTATTATTTTCAAATGGATATTGCCAATACATCAAGATTATTTTCTATAACACTTTATAACCATATCAGTCAAATAGCCTAAATGCACTTTAGTTTCATTTGCAAAAGGAGTGAAATTATTAGAACCATCAGTCTCAAAGTTGGTCTGGATTTTAATTTTTCTTTTTTAATTAATTTTAAAAACCAGCAGTAGTTACTACAGGAATACTGGAATCAAGGAATAGTCCAGTAGACTTAGCCCTCAACAGTTCATCATGATCATGATTAATCATTGGTCACTATGCAATCATTGCTTCACCGATTGTTGCATCTCACTAAAATGCAATATCCTATATTTTTAACAGTTCTATACAATTTAAAACATACTTATACTGGATTTGTAAACCTACTGAATAGTTAGTAAATACCATTCTAAAATGTCAGGTTCCTAGATCTATGTTCCAAATTCCATCTTTCCAGAATATCCAGATTTTCCAATATTTCATGATTAAAGAGAACCTATTGTTATACTTGCCCTTTTAATAGTAGTTGTGTCTGAATGAGTCAACCCCAAGTCCCGGTTCTTCTGTCGACTCAATCGGTGCCTTGACTGAGTGTCATCATCTTCCTCTGCTATGGTTGTATCCTAAGCCAGAGATAGAAAACGTGACACATACAATGAAAAAGTATGCTGAAATAGAGCTTCAACCACTCAGAGTACTTACAGTGACAATTTTGGCAGCTAGCATTTCGTATCTTGAACAACTAATCTTGTGTTTTATCAGCACTCTGTGCACCAATGGAATAAAAATTTGGTACTTTCTACCGAGTTGTGAAACAAGAGCACACAATGTGTCCATAGCAGTAGGTCGCAGTTCAGGGCATGTGTCCAATGTTCTTACAAGAGGGTGAACTATGCGTGATGCAAATTCAGTGAAGTCAAGTGTATCTGCCAAGTGGTCCACAGTCTCTAGAGCAATGCGACTCACAGCCACAGGACAATCCCCACCGGCATCAAATAAACGAACCACTGGAGGAAGAACAAGATGAAGATAATCGTCCAAATTGCTGCCGAACTTCTGCAGAGCAAGCAATAGCTGGAAAATGGAGAGAAAAAAGCTTTAGCACTTGCATAAATTCACTGACTCTAATTTTTAAATTTTTTATAGGACTGTCAGCAAAATGATGTGAAGAGCACAGCCAATGAGTTCATAAGGGAAAGAAGGCCAATAACAAAAAAGAATGGAGACAAAGTGAGGATAGCTCATAAAAAAACACGAATAATTAATTATGAAACAAATTAATTTAAGAATTCGGTTAAAAAAACAGCAAATAATACACAGAAAAGGATCTTGGTAAACAACAAGAAGTAGCATAAAGCAAAGAAACAACTATGAAAAAGCTAATTCTTAAAAATAAGAAGGCAAAGAAAGAATGTAAGAAAAGAAATGGAAATACAATATGATACAGAAGAGCAAATTAATGTAAAAAAAACAAACATTTTTTAACCCGGTATTAATATAAAAATCTGATAAATATATAAATTGTTACTTATTTGTACCGAGCACACTGGCTAACATATGAACTTTTTTTTTTAAGTCAATAATTCTGGCATTTCTAGTAAATTTTCTCCACAGTATTTTTCATTACCAAATATCACAATCTATATACAAAGTTCAACATACCTTTGCAGTAACATTTCGATCTTTACTAATATCGTGCATGAAAACCCTCAGGATCTGAGGCAACAGCTGAGGCAAATAGATCTTAAACTCTGCTCCAAGAGCAACCGCAATGTGTTCCACTAAGAGAATTAGCGTGCTTTGAAGAGGGCTATTCGTTGTCCAGAATTCCTACAGGAAAAAAAACCAACTTTAACTTCATTTTCTTAAACTACAAATATTTATCAATTGTTTTTTTAACAGTCTGCTAAAGTGCAATTAATACAAGAATATTAAATTGAATTTTTGCAAAAAACGAAAGAATTTTTAACATGGTAAAACTCCATAAGCTTTAGACTTATACATTTTTCACATTTGTGCATTGTTGTTTATATGTCAAGCTTCCCATGTTCAATTATTTCAAATCTGAGTTTTATATTCATTCATTTTTCATGCTTATTCATCTTTAATACTGATTCCATACCGAAGATAGATGATCAGTGAGAATGATTACGTCATCACAGATAAACCCATGAATTCTGTTTGGTTCAGAGTACAAGTTGTTTAGTTTTGTTGGTAGACAAAGCCTGTCAGCCTTCCATTGTAATCTTATAGGAACTGTGAAGACTGAACAAAACCGCTGGGTGAAAGATAATGATACATGTGCCCACTAGTGTCCCTACAGCTTTGCAAAATGTTTACATGTCACCCTGTATGGCTTTGAGAACTGTCTGCATGCTTGATAAGGATTTGCAAAAGATAGTGTGTTGTCCAGTAGGACCTTGTGTAATGTTTGTCAACATTCCACAGCAAATATCTGGCCTATTTGGTTGCTTATAGGTAACATTATGTGATCAATGAGAGATCATTTGAAGGCATTTTTGGCCAATGGCCACCTAGCTAATGTGTCAAATCAACACCATCTAGATTTACTCACACACGAAAGTGAAATTTGTGATCGTCAAGTGTGTATGGGTGTCTTTATTGGGAAACAAATAATGTGGGTTATTATAGGGAAGTTGTTACATTTTGAGGGGAAAATTGATACTTTAGGTGCAGAAAAAAGCAAATGGTCTAAAATCAGACTCTCTTCAAAAGTGAGAACTTTCTGTCCTGAAAACGTTGACTTTTTATTTTGTACCTAGATTTTCCTCATTTTAGTTACCATATTTACTTGAATATAAATCAAATCTGAATTCAAACAACCCACTAATTTTGTAGAGCCTCCTGAGAATTTTTCAATTTTTTTCTAATTCACACTATTTAGTCAAAATAAAATTGCAAATTGTCTAATTCACCAGAAAACGGCCTTGTTAAGACATTGTCTGAACTATCATTTCTTTGTTCCTTAAAATCACCATAAATCAAGTAATTTGTAACTACCCTCATCTTCACATGTATCAATGTTTTTTTTCGGTATTCCTTCCAAGCTTCGACATCTTCTGACTTTTTCAAACCTCCTGCACCATCTTCTGAGTTTGTGTGATGAATTTGCCTTGTTCTTGTCTTTTATCTTGATGTCACCTACGAACATTTTCTTCTATGTCACGCAATTTTCTATCTGTCCTGCATTAATTGATGGCCTTCATTTGTTTAACAGTTTTTTCATATTTTTTAACAGAATATACTTCAAATTAGCAACACTTATCATCATCATCATTATTTATTAAAATTATAATTATTATACTGTTCGCGTGACAGTTGTGACTGCGAACTCATACATTTCTGTCCCTCCATTTCATGGGTAAAAGCAAGAGATAGCAAATTTTCAAGTTTGGAAAGTTTTTGCTAAGAATATTGTTTTATCATCCTTTTCTGTTATTGGATATAGAATGCATACGTTTATCAATGTATTTTTTTTTTGTTTCTTTCTCTTGCAAAACGCAAACTCCAACACATTGGGTATCAAATCGAGATTCAAAAGTCTCTTAACCAGATAGATGTAAATAATGGATAGACAAAATTTATCGTTAGATTTGAAATGAAAGGGGGAATAGAGCAGGTTGATTTCAAATTCTGAGAGGACAGAAGTTAAACAAATTCAAACATTTTTTTAATAAATAAATTTCTAGTTTTTAAGTTGTTACCGAAATTTTTTTGTAATCACGAGAATCATTGAGATTATTCCAATCGACAAATCAAGCGATATAGTTAGAACCACTAATTACCAACCTATCTCACTAATCACAAATTTTGCGAAAATATTTGAAAAATTATTGAAAGTTAGATTTGAATACTACTTAAATAAACATAATATAAATAAAACAATTCCAATTTGGTTTTCAAAAGGGTAAAAGTACTGTAGGTACTATTAAGTATGTAACAAGACAGATCTGTACTTCAATAGATAAGAGTATGCCATGCATATCAATTTATCTGGATTTGGCTAAAGCATTTGATACTGTCAACCATGAATTGCTACTAAAGAAGCTCTGTAGATATGGTATTCATGGAATTACTTATGATTTGATTAAAAGTTACATGACTAATCGTAAACAAGTAGTGTAAATAAACAATGTTACTAGTAAAGAACAAGTGGTCACTTGTGGAGTTGCGCAAGTAACAATATTGGGACCACTATTCTTCATTCTATACATAAAAGACATATTTCTTAACTTGCCAAAGGAAGATTTGATATCTTTTGCTGATGATACTTGTGTTATAGTTAATAGTAAATCATGGACTGATGTTCTTCAAGGGCTGAAGTCAACCTAAATCTGTTAGCTAATTGGTTATGTGCAAACCATCTTAGCATTAATATAACAAAGACAGTATACTCTACATATGGCAGCTATTTGCACAGTGTTCCGGATCATTATACATTGAGGATACATATAAATTCTTGCAATATACAAAACTGTACTTGTTCAGAGATAAAAAGAGGATATCATACAAAATACCTAGTATTCTTATAGATTGCAATTTAAAATGGGGATTCCATATATCAAAGATATAAAATAAATTAAGGTATCTCATATATAGTTTTTATAAAATTACTTAATTATTTAATACACAACTTCTAATGATATTTTATTGGTCTATCGCTACGTATGGTATAATTGCGTGGTTTTGTGTGGGTAATTGCCTATGGTAATTCCTTGAAATCTCCGAGTGATATTCAAAAATGAATTATTAAACTGATATTTGAAAAGGATAAAAAATACTCTTCAGAAATCTTATATAGAGAAAATAAAATAATTGATATTAGGAAATATTTTATGTTGAAGTCAGTCTTCGAGAATTTCTCTTATTTACAAAATATCTATGAAGTAAAAGTAACGGCCAATAGAAAACTCTATATTTGCAACCTCCAGACGTTAAAAAGGATATTGGTAGAAGAAATTTTGAATATACCAGTTATAAAGTTTACAATTTGCTTCCACATAATTTGAAAACCTTGAATGCAAATAGTATATCAACTAAAAGTATGATAAAATACTGGTCGATAAACTCTGAGATGTTCTGAAGACAATTGAGTAATGCCCTGTTTGCACTGAAATCCTTCATCTAAGTTATACTATACCTATTGTAATTTATATTTTAGTTTTATACATATGTATTGTAATTAGAAAATATGTTAGATTTTTTGATTTTTCTTTTTATTTCTATTTCATAGAGTATAGTTTTATTAACTTACTTTCTTTTATGTAAGTAGTGCTAATGTATTTATCTTTATAAAAATTGTTTCCATTTTTTCTATTTATATTTTTATTTCTTTACAAACGTACTATGTTTTGCTATATCGCGTACATCATGCAATTTGCGGATTTGTGTACAGGCTTTAGCCTCAGCGAGGTGCAGAGAATATATATTGTATACCTTATGCATATATATTTGTATCTGTATTTGTATATACAACCTGAATAGACTTACTATCAGGATTATGATTATGATCATGATGATTATGATTATGATCATAATCATGATCATCATGATTAGTATCATCATTATAATTATTATCATCATTATGATTAGTATTATTCCTATAATTATGATGATTAATGGTAATTAATGGTCTTTTTTTTTTGCTTTTTGTGTTCTTTTGTGTAGATTTGTTAAATAATTATCATGCATCCAAAGAAACATAAAATTGTATCAATGTTGTCTACAGTTGAGGCAGTTGGAAGTAAACCCATTTAAACAGTCCGAGTGTTAATTTGGATATATTAATATTCAAAAAGAAGGTAAGTAAGGAATTCATTTTTTCATATTTAAGTAAAGTAATTAGATTATGCTTTTAGTAATTGTTAATTGTTGTACGTAATTTATTTAATAGCCTGAAGATGACAATGGATGAAAGTTGTTGAAACGACATGTTTGTGTGAAGAATTAAATAAAAGGAAATGTGAAAATTTCATTGTTTTGTACATAAGCCAACTACAAAAAAGAGATCAATAAAAGTTATTAAAGAATAATACATGAAGTTGGCCAAGAACAAAAACTTTACTTCTACAATACTTCATTCAAATTGTAGAGCCTCTGAACATCCGCAATTTTGTGTCCTGTAATTTCTGGGACTTCTCAAATTAGTTGTCTAGCAGCTGATAGACTATTAACTTCTTAATTTATTCAGTAATATGGCACTGCTTAATCAGAATTCCAGAATTGGGCAAGAAAGTACAAATTACAACAAATTTTACATCACAAAAAGAACATCTAAAAACAATCATTATCATATTCGGATAAAGTGTACCTACCATGATTCCATTAACAATGCATTGTTCCATGCATTTATACTCGTTCATGAAAGAGAAAACAAATTTAAGAAAACAAATTAAGAACAAACCTTTATTAATGTGAAGATGTCATCCAAATAGTTACGAATATGCTGTTTGACAATGGCAATAAGGACAGCTAATTGTTGGAAAAGGTATTCACGGAAATTTACATCTGCTTGCCGCACCACATTCAAGAAACTAGGCATAACTTGCGAGATGTATGGTACACACTTGATACCCAAGGACTTAAATATAAATGTCACAGCCTGCAACAGAAATAATTCATTAACCTTGAAGAATAAGATTTTTTAAATATCAGTAATACTAATCTACAAAGCAAATTCAACCAAATGATGTTTTTTAAAGTTTTTCAGATTCTAATTTCTCATTCTAAATTTGGGTCTTATTATTTCCAATCTTACTCAAATTGGTGAACAAATATACGTTTTAGGACTAATTTAATCTTTCTTTCTCTAAAAAGAGGGTGTAGGACAGTTGCAAATGTATCATTCAAATAATTGTATATCAGTTAATTCTCCTTTCACTCCTTAGCACTTATCTTCTAATTTGAATTCACACTAGTTTATTTTTAATTCTTCCTATTAGTAAACACAATGAAAATGTGCTAAATAAGTAAGACCTACCTGCACAACCATTGTATGATGTTGGGAAAGGGTTGGATCGCGAATAATTCTCATTAAAGTAGCAATAGCAATAGCTGGGTAATATTCTTCTAATGTGGAGGAACTCATATTCACCAACATCTCACTAGTTGTTAATTCTGGAATAAATATTGAGCTATTTCAGTTACGCCTTTCCTCTCAGAAGTATTCCAAAAAGAGGACCGGTCACATTTTATTTTGAAATACTGGCAGGACTTGAAAGCACTATGTGAAGTTGATAGATTGAGTGCTTAAATAAATTAAATGAACAAGAGTAGATCTGAACATGAGTTTCCCAAATTTCTGATTGAAGCACTGAATTCAATGTGATGCCTTTAATGACATACCTATGTGCAAGAAACTTCTTTTTGGTGAAATATTTCTTTCAAAGAAATTTTATTTTCAATTTCCACTACCCAAACCCACATAAAAATGTTTAAAAGTTTTTATGAAATAACAAAAACTGAAAGACTTAAAAACAATTAAAATGTTTTGAAAATTGAAAATGTTACGCAATGTATCATCTCACATAGAATACACACTTTGCAATGTTGCAATTGATAACATTTTAATTTACTGGCACTTAATCTTCTGAAATTAAATAATTCACTAAAGATATAGTAATTTGTGTTCAAAAAACTTAATCTATGAGAAATAGTTTCTTACCATGACTAGCTTCTGCTTCAGTGCGGGTGTCAGATAATGACAATAATGTAGTATCACCTTGTGAATCTATTTGACCAAGGTTCATTTTGTGTTTGTATGGATCTAATGCTCCTAGTAGTCCTAAGACTCGAATCGTCTCACGTCTGATTGGTGGCTGTTGTTCTGTTTTCAGAAAATTCATAAGCACATCCAGAAGGGTTGGGTACTGAGCATAAGGATGCACTACATGACCAGTTGCCTCAACCAGTTGGCCAAGCACCCATAATGCAACACCACGCTTCTCAGGAGAGCTGGCATCACCCAGCATGTCTAGAAGGATAGCCAGTAGTTCAGGTAGCCACTGTTCCATTTCACGCCCATTAACCTGCACATGAGAGAGGAATGGTTTAGAATAGCAGATAAGTTGTGCTGAATAGAAACATCTTAAATGCAACAGAGAGACAACAAATAAAGAGATCAAATTCACAAGATAATCAAACTTGCACAAATCACAAAAAATAACTACACTAAGGATTTTTCAACTACTGAATAAGACTCTGATTCTCAACCCCTAACATTGAGTTCTGAAACACATGAATTATCAGGAATCAGGAAACAATGCTATACAAAAAGAAATGAATATAATGAAAAATATTTTAGATATTACACATTTTATATCCACTTGATTGGTGAATAGACACAATTTGAAATTATTTCGATTAGTCTGTAATACTACTTTATATACACCCTGGCACCTCAATTATGAAATTTATGAACTAATGGATTTATTTACTTATTTACAGATAATTAAGTCTAGTAGGTTGCCCAAATTGCAGGACTGTTTCTAGAAGCACATACATTTATAATCAATTGGAGTTTACATAATTCAAAATACACCTAACAAGGGAAGTAATCGAATTGTCAAATGTATCTAGTTATATATTCTAATGATACAACTATTATCATACAATTACTTAAAACAACACTTGTGCATTCAAAAGCATTAAAAAATCTTTATTTTGAGGAGAGACATAGTAATACCAATAGTATTATAAAAGGCTTTGGAAGAACATTCATCCAGGAACAGACTGCAACCGCGACAAAATGGTGAATATTTAACACCATTGATAATCTTTATTAATAAAATAATCTGGATCATCACTCTCATATTTTCAAAATTACCAACATATTCAATTTTAACCCTTATTCGGGCAACCGGGGCCCACTGAACCCTCCAGCAACATTTTCAATATTTTACATGAAAAATATGGAAGGGGTTGGGATAGTTTCTTGTGACTTCGATTGCTATCTTGTTTTTTAATTGTACCTGCAACCATTTTATGAAACCGTTACTGAATAGTGAATAAAAAAATCTTTGTTTCAGTTGTAAGCAGGCAAGCAGGGCCCATTGACCCCAGGTCTCTTAATCTACGTGTGATGTGTTTTCTAGTTTTGTTTGGTTAATTACTTGACGACCACTTTTGTGTCCAAGGAATTGATGGATGTTGGGCTGGGCAACATCATTTCAATCTGAGTCTAAGTGTGAGCATTTCTAAAAACAACAGCTTTGTAGACAGTCTTGCAGGTTAGTAAGAATCAGGAGAGTGTGTTTATGAATTTGTGTGTGTTTGTACACAAAATGTAAGACAGTCAAACAGGATTGAATAACACATTTTGCCTGCCAATCACACATGTTATCAGGGAAGAGGCAACTCCCACAAAGCAGAAAATTTATAACAGTACCAAAAAAGATGTCATTTGTGCCTTTGAAAATGAAATACAAAACAAAGAGATGTAGCATCAATTCAAAGCCTGTCTGTAATGTACATACTCAGGTAAACAGAATGTGCAATCTGTAATGAAAGAAAAAATTAAATTTAAAGTATTTTGAAAGGTTTTGTAAATAAAACAAATATATTAGAATGTTCTGTTTCACTGTTTGCATCTGAAAAATACATCTGTAAGCATAATCCCGTGGCAGACACTCCTGGAACCGCAGCACCCCGCTTGCCTAGTGGCATCAGTAAAATTGGTTGCCCGAAAAAGGATTAAAACCCTCTTTCCAGGGTTCTATGAGTAATGCCACTTTACACAAGAGAAAAATCTCCTCTGCAGTGATGACACATTTTGGACCGTAACTACAAAGGAGTAGAACAGTCATCACAAGGTATTACTAGAAGAATGAATGTTTCTGGAATTTACCTCAGAAATGTCATTTAAGTTTGAGTCTCCTTTATGAGACACAAATCTACATTATGGAAAACTTTTATTTTCTTTAGATGCAAAATTTGCAAGAAATTGAAGAGTAGTACTCACCTCAGCCAAGTCTCCAATGCAGGTGAGGACTGAGATGACAACCCCTGGGTTTGGCTCCTGCTCCCTCAGCTTGGGCACCAGCACCTTGAGAATAGGCTCCATGTACGGGCGTACTAGCCGAGGAGCATTCACCACCAAGTGGTCCAACATGCGTGCCCCTTGTTCCTTATTACGGCCAGTGCCGCTATGTTCTAACTCCACCAGCAACTGTCATTGGAAAAAAAGAAAATCAATAAATTTCAACAGTTTGTTTTGTTGGTGCCAGAGTAGAGGCTTCAGAAGTGGGGAGACAGGAAAGAAAAGGCAGATGGTAGCAAAGGAGTGATCGAAGTGTGTGTACCATGTCATTGAATAAATTAATTTTTAACTATTTTCACTTGTTTTCTTTCACATACAAAACTCAGTTTTAGCAGACAGAAGCAATAGAAAGTTTCAAAATTCTAGCATGTATATTCAATGAAATAGAAAGAAAACATTTTCCACACTGCATGTTTAATTTTTGTGTAGATATTAAAGAATTCTATCTTCTGCATACAAGTACCATTATGTTCAGAGCACATTAATTTTGCATCATGTCACTTAGTAGTACACTTAACTGCCTTGTGCTGTGTGCATACTTGTGCTGGTAGATCCCATTAATAATTGTTTTGTTTTTCATTCTTTAAATATAAATGGAAACTGCTTACAATTTCCATACTTTTCCTATCCCCAAAATACCCAAAATAAAACTGACAATATTACTATTAAATTTAATTTCATCTGATGAATTTTAATCTGGTGTTCTTGATATGGGAAATGCTAATTAATAAAAATGAAAACTGGCATGAAAATTATATGTATGGATAATATTTTCCTGGAATGTAAACAAAGGTTACAAGGTACATTTACAAACATTAACAACACATCAAAGATTTAATTATTTTGGAATTATTCTACATGAAATTTCCCAATCAAATGGACAATAAATTCAGTGCACCATTCTAAAAAAAAAATTTTTCCAAAAGACGAATTGTTTCAGAATGACACTAAAATGATCTCCCATAAAAAGAGAACAATAAAGATTCTCAATGTAAAATAATATTAAGTTAACAAGGCACCACATAAGTTTATTTAGTAAACTGTTAATTCATCTTAAAATATACACAACTCCAAAATTATCTAGTTTCCAAGTAGAATAATCTATTCTTGATTTATACCTGAATAAGAGTTTTACGCAATGATGGCATCACATAAGCTGGATTGACAGCACTAAGTCGACCAATTGTACAAATTGCTAATTCACGAATTTCAAAAACCTCATCATTCAGAGCAACAAAGAGAGCACCTAAATTTTCTGCTTGAGCTAAATGCCCATCAAATATTTCTGCCATTGAATCCAGCACACAATAACGTACATCTGCATCTGCAATAAATTATAAAATTTTAATTTCAAGAAACAATGGAATATACATTTCAAACATCACTTACACATAGGAAAACACTTTTATAATGATTATTTTTTACTAGGTAGTATCTTGTAAATTATTAACCAATTACAATGTATCAAGATAATAATATTACAAAGTATTGACAAAGAACTGTCAACATGATAATTCATTTTCAACGCAACAGAGGAAACTACTATTTTCAAAATAATGAACAAAAACTTATTGAAATCAATGACACGATTTTTTTGCATTGATTCACAGTACCTAACTTTATAGCTAAGATGGTCATGGACAAAGTCTAAACAGTAACACAAATTTAGAGTTCTTGTTTATCTATATCAGGGGAGCTAGGAGAGAAAAGAAAAAGCTACAATTTGATCATAACAGAGATGTTGCTCTAGGAACACCTAAACCCCTATGTAAATCCTGCAAAGTTTCAAAGAATTTTATCAATGTAATTTAAGAATTATTAATTCCTTACTAGAGAAACCTTGTTTGGTGGTTTTTACGAAATGGTTTCTTATGTTCAGAAATTAAAGTAAATCATTCTTGGAAAAAAATGTATACCTGTATCTGTAATTCCAACAACAAGGACTTTGGAAAGCACATCAGCTACAGTTGTTGTTACAATGGCTGATTTACGACTTTTTGCATTTTCCAAAGTGATTCTCAGTAAGTAACAGCACGTCCTGACAGATTCTAAACGGACTTCTTGCTGATCACTGTTCAGGAAGTGGTCGGCACAGCGACGAACAAACTGATTAAGTGAATGCCCTGAAAATAAATTGAAACCCAAATGATATTGCAACTTGTGAAGAAAAGGAAAGAATTACAAGACTCTGAGGATGAAAGCAAGTTTATTAGTATCTTCTGAAACTGGTCAAAGTTCCAACCTAAATATAATTATTGCTTCAAAGTGAAGTCTGTATTCATGGTCTCTATAACCCCTTCTTTCAAACTCTTGTCACAATTTCATCTGAAAAAGTATGACATCTCACTGAGCATTTGATTGTTTTAAAGACAATGACAACTTCATTTAAATCAACAAGACAGTGCAAGGTTTCCTGACATCTTAAGAACATTGCCTTCTTCATGAAGGTCTGTCTTAAATGTTTCCGCCCATACAGCTTCACTTAGACTGTTTTTTTATCAATATCAATGCAATTATCAAACGTAGGGCAATGTGGGTGTTTTGTCAGGATTTAAGGAAATAAATAAATTTATATTGCAACAATGAATGGTGAAGAGGGTTAGTACACTAGTTAGTTGTTAGCACACTAATCTTGAATATCCAATTCTACCTGTTCAAATCCTACAGAAAATCCTCAGTATGACTTTTTGCAGAGAAGAGATTCCTGCAGTACCATGACATACATTTTTTAGCAAGAAAGAGAATTCTACAACGACACCACTAATTAAGCAGTTGCCAGTAAAATTATTAGACATTTTGTCAATTACTCACTCTTAGGAACAACTTTCACATGAAATCAGGCCCGTTACACTCATCTCTAGCATTGTGAAATAAGCATTATGAAATTAACTTGGCTGTAAAAGCAATGATAACACGGCAAGGTTCACTTCCAACTATGGCACTTTGAGAAAAAGACAAAATGAATAAATAAGAAACGTACCTTCAAAATTGTAGGAACCGAGAGTGCGTAAGGCTAGTACCACTGAAGGCAAGTCCTGCATCGACTCTGTGCTGCCGGCACTCCCACTGCTGCCAAGACCACTGTTACCCCCAGGACTTCCAGGCAGCCCTCCCAGTCCATGACGGTGATGACCAGAGGAGCCAGAGCCACCACCAGAGAAGGGAGAGCTACCAGTGCTGCCACTACTCATGGCACCTGGGTGATGCATCGTCAGCATCAAGGGCTTCTGCATTAGCACGAGTGACAACATGCGCAACAGCCCTTCATTCACTTCCCGGCGCAATGAAGGTACCCACTTGGCCAATTCCTTAAGAGCTGCAGGTAAACAAAACAACACAGAAGGAGAATGAATGTGCACTGAAATGTATAAAAAAGTTACGCATATTTTTAACATTAAAAATATAACTTTAGACCCAAATATGTGTCTTAATGATACTTATAATTGGCACCTGTGGTTTGCACTGAATTACACTATCTAAAGCCCACCTTACACAAACCAGTTTTCATTGTTTCAGTTCAGAAACAGCTTAACTTCCAAAAGGACACATTCCTTATGGTTTGAATTTCATAAACTTGACGGGTTCAGTAAGAAAGCCACAATTTTGAGCTTTTAGAGTTGAGACCACGCTTTCTAAGCAATCCTTGACACCTGACTGATTTTCTTGATTTTCCATTGATTTATTTGTGACTGCAGATCAGCCAAACAACTTTTCAATCTTGCATTGGTATAATTTATAATTGAAAGACTTGGAGCAGTAAATAGACATTCTAGACACAGTAAGTTACAACTCACAGACACAGTAAGTCTCCCACTGCTCATAAATGTTAAAATTTTGGTTTAAATGTGACCGATCTTCTTAGTGCTCCAAGCCCTTTAATTTTCTCTCACTGATCCTTTCAATTTATCAAATGAGTACTTTGAACAAAGTTAACTTCTTTATAAGCATTACTTACTAAGAAAATAAGGGATATTGAAAAAAAAAAAAAAAAAAAAACACAAACAACCTCCATACAGCAACAGAATAGTTTAGGGAAGGAGGATATTCTGCAAGATACCAGCAAGGAATCGAAAACAAACTGAAATATTTGCATAGAAATCTGAAGCATGATTATTTCTCAGTATAAAGAGAAAGTGTGCAACCTCTTCATTTTCTGTGCAGTTGAAAATGTTAATAGACATGATCTGTATAAAGTGGGCTTGAAAGTAGAAAACATATTTTTCTCTATAATACTTCAAAGTTTGAATTATGACAAAGTGAATAATTTCTCATGTTCGGCAACAGTCAACCAACACGCAACCTAAAATACTGACCAATGGTAAGAGCAGGGCTCAGTCCAGTTGCCATCATGGGTTCCAGGAGATCTCTAACATCATTTTGTACAAGACTGCCAACAGCAATTGCAAGAAATGTGACACACAACAGCACTGCAGGCTCCAGAGCAGGTCCACGCTTTTTGCTCAGAGAATCCTACCACAAGAACATATTTTTTCCAATGTACTTCTCCAAATTTGATAATACTCAAATATGGTCCTAAATAGTTTCTTTCAATTAAATCATTCTTATGTCCAGTTAGATCAACTACCAGAAATAATATCTTCTACAACACAACTAACATGAAACAAATTTGAATACCTTTGGTGGAAGTGATACTCTGACCACTTCCATAACGCGAGGCAAATATGGTTTGATGTCAGTACCAACAGCAACAGCAATTAATCCTATTGTAGTAAAGGCAGCACTTCGATCCTTCTCACGACCACGTAGACTCCCTAATAAATACTGCATTGTTACTCCAAGATGTCTGCAATGTCAAAAATTCACTAAGTTGTACATGATGTTAGTCTTACTAAGAATTACTTAATTATACTTCAATTTTCAGGAACTTAAATTATTTAAACAAGCAAATGGTTGCAAGAAGACCTGTGAAATGCCATTACAAATTTCATAACTAATTTGAATTTTTAAGGAGAAGAACTATAAGTGCAGAGGTGATTTGTAAGAAAACAAAGGTGTAATAAGAAATTGTGACAGATTCAAATGAGAAAAGGAAAAATGCCGGATGCAGAGATCATGAACTCGAATAAGGACAAGTCACAAAAAACAATATGATTCAATATGTTCTGAAAGTTAAGAATTGACAACTGACAAAAATTTAATAAGATGCGATGGAGAATGTGAACAAGCGTTCCATATAAAATGTACCCCCCTAATGAATGGTGAAGTTCAAATACTCCATAAAGCATCTCGTAACATACTATGGTTATGTATGAAATGCAAACCAAACTACCAAGCAAAAAGATATACACTGGAGATGATGTAAAAACAAATCTATGATCTGCAGAAGACAATTATGTATCTGAAAATAAAAATAAAGCATATGATAACTAGGGCTGTGATTTATACGCAATAAAAACAGCAAACTATGCGAATATATTTGTAAATACATTTGGTAAAGCAATTAAAAAAGGAAAATATGCGAAATGGTGTAATGTAACATGTAAAAATAAGTAAAAAGTGTAATGTGGAAAATATGTTTACAGCAAAAAAAGATACAGAAATCATATAAATTGTTACAAGCTACAAACATTAAGACCAGAGCTTAATTTTAAAAAACACTCATTCCTTAGGAAAATAACAGGAGATGCAATTAATGTACATTTCACAAAATAAAAAGTAAAGGTATTGCAAAAAAATATGACATCCTCTCAATTCATGACAAATTCACAGGCCTTCGTCTTTTAACACCACTCCACTTTTACACTGTGTATGGGCATGCATAGTCACTTCGCAGATCCACATAATTTTGACTGATACTGCCAATGACACGTCTTAGCATTCTTCTCGGGCGACTTCGTACTAGTCAGGCGAGCAGCAATGCTGATCCGTGGCTAATATCCTTGGAAGCCCATTGCTTCACATGATGTAGCATAGCAAGTGGCAAGAGAACTGAGAAGAGTGGCTTACAAGCTCATGGAACTGTAACTTTTGGGCTACTTTTTGCGGATGAGGGGTAAATACACAAATATGGCTCAAATGACGCAAAAATATGTAAATATGGTGATATATATACAAAGAAAAAATAGCTTAAATTGATTTTAAATGCCTCAAAATGTATACAATTTGTTGAAAGAGGATGTTTAAGTTAATAGAAATAAATATGCAAATGCATATAAATCACAGCCCTTATGATAACACACAAACTAAAAATACTATGCCTCAATGAACCACAAAATCCCATTCATCCAGAATTATATGAAGAACAGAAGGCTGTTGAACTGATCATTTCAAGAAGCCCTGTGATCAAGCCCCAAGATCAATCAATGACAATCAGCTTTAAGTAATTGGCGGTTCGTAAGCCAAATTCAAAACCCAAACGAAAACAAAAGATTTCTGGTGGAGAAGAAAAGCAGCATTGGACCAAAAACTGGCACAGGTCATATCCAAAACAATTTAAGACGGGAAATGATGGAAGCAGAGGTACAGTAAAATGACAGATACTGTGGCGGCGTCGAGTGCGACTAACACACAGACACAGCTGGTTACTCTCCAGCCGCCTCGCAAGCGGTCACAGACAGACCTCCCATGCTGGCGGCGTCCTCTCATCCCGAAACTTGGGCCTGTTTGCAATTTTGGAGTTTAGCTGCATCGCTGCTGGACTCACCCATCATCTCCCTCTGCGCCAGTTGACACCCATGTTCCGAGACACGCCCACCCCGGTCCTTGAGGAGGACCCGTCTCTGGTGGCCTTCCCCTTGCCGCCAAAGGACTGCCCCCGCTCCCTCGCTGGCCTCCCGACATGTGTGGTCCATCTGGCCCATTGGCACGACGTTACAATACCATCCCCAGAGAAAATTAAAAACCATCACTGGTGGTCCAAGAGGGGAGAACAAGGAACTAGGGTTCTATACAAGTAATAATTGGCACAAAGGCAGACAATGTTGGAGGAAAGCCAAAAATACACACCGGTACAACAGTGGAATGGTGGTACATCGGAAAGTTGGCCGGGAAAACAAATGATGATTTACAAACAATGATCAAAGAATTTGGAGTAAATGGAGAAATATCAATAGAAGAACTTAAGACAGTGGGATGAAACTAATCCTTTAAAGAAGTAGGACTGTTAGAAGAGACCTCAAAGAGCGCCTTCCCACGTCGCGACGGCAGCGCGCTTCCGTCAAGACTCTCGCTACGCGAAGCGGAGGAGGGGGGTGCGGCCAATCGCTACCAGAATTACAGCTTCTTTAAACTGGCATAAGCCCAATCCCACTTACGGCCGCCTGTCGCCGCGTTTTTACATGCTGCGGTCACTCGTTCGAACGTCCGCCGGAGGGTGCGCGAAGAGCCCTGCCGCTTAACGGACGGCGTTTGCGTGCGGCGGGAAGGCGGCCAAGGTTATATAGTAGCAAAGTATCTGCCGAAAGGGTATTACAGTATGGCCATTTCACTCCCCATGAGGAATCTCTCTCCCTCAGGAACAAATTAAGAGAATCCATGAAATACCATATATGGAAATATTGAAAAACGATGAAGCCTCCTACAACAGAAAGTATGTATGAAAGGGTCTCAAAAACTGCCTACCAGAGTGAATGTTGGATAACCATACAACACTCAGGCTGCACGATATGTAAGAAATATCACTGCTCACTCCAAAAAAATATTCAGTCGAAAACAATCACAGAGCAAATTGAAAGCAGAAGCCTTACAGCCAATACCGAAATCTCTAACAATCTATCTTACAATCTTTTAGCATGAATTGGAAGGAGAACTAAATAAGCACTTACACAAGAAGGGAAGATAGTAGTAAACAACTAATAGAACCTGATAATGTCTCACAAAGGAAATCCAAACTGTGCACAATCCAAACGGGAAAGAAAAAATACACTGAAGCTCTTAATAAATACAAGTACTCCAAAAACCCTTTGAGACTCAAGACTATCAAAAGAAAAGGGAGAAATAGCGCAAGAGAAACTGAATGCAAAAAGAAGAGAGAGATAAGAGAGAACGAGAGTTAGGCGCAGCAGATGAAAGAAACAAAATTAAATAGAAGGAGGCACGGAAACAATCCATTCAACGCCTATAACCGTTGACAACTGGAAGTACCCAGAGAAATTCCTATGGAGAAACGTGCAGCTCCATTTCTTGAACATCTTACAGTCAAAAGACACCATTCCTATGGAACCGCAATAAGTCAGACAAAGAAATCAAATTCTTAATCTTCACTTCCAAAAAGAACAAATCCCTGGTGACCCACATGACAAAAACACAGAAACACCCTCCAGGGCCTCAAAGTACCTTGTTAAAGAAACATGGCATGAGATCTAATAAACCAACGTGCCTCGTAGAATTGGAAACATGCAGATTAAATGAAAAAACTCACAGTAATCAACAGTCCATACAGGAAAAGAATTGAGTGCAACCCCAGAATAACTACAGGAGGAATGGTATTAGGAATGCTGCACCATTCAGGATATATTTAAATTAACTCACTAACAGGACAGGGACAAAATTACCGGTTGACAGAATATCAGAAGAACAATATCGGCTTCCAGAAGGACAATCTATAACGCATGCCAGTGAAATGCCTTCAATAAATGACATAGATGTAGCACTCAACCCTTCATCAAAGAAAAAAACCGTATTTAGTATTCATTGATTACACGTAAAGCATTCGACATGACCAAAAACCAAGCAAAACATCGGATAAGCAAGCTGGAAAACCTCATAAGAATGGAACACCACTAACGTTAATAACCCAACAACCACGCCAGCCAATGCTATCCAACATTAGACAACCAGTAGAGGGTGAAGTCATAATGCAGCATGAGAACAGGTAATAGCAAAGGGACCCATAAGGTCCCTTGCTTTTTAACATTGCTGCACATGCAAACAGTAGCTGCAAGCTGTATTGAAACAGAAGTAAAAAGTGATGTGTATTCTCAAGACTAGGATGGATTTGATGACATAAACCACATCGGTAAAAATTATCATATAACAATGCTCGTTAAAATGTTTTTAAAGCAATACGCAGTACAAAAATGTACAAGAACCGATCAGAGAACAACTTTAGCTGTTAGCATTTATGTTATGGGACGTATTTGAGGCTTCTTCCTTTCATTCAAGAACTTGGCTGCAGTTTTGATCTGGAACTGACCAGTAATCCTTTATTATGCTGTGAATTGGCAGAACTGACAAAGGCACTTATAGTAGGTGTAATCAGGAACCAAATTTACGATTTGCTTCACAAGGCTGACATTTACATTCTCAGCAGAGAAATCAAATAGGCCTACTCAGGCATATTCTAATGGAGAACATTTGTTGGCATCACGTAATATTATTTGAAAAGATCATTAAATGAAATTGAAATCAATTAAATCAGCAAAACTTGTTTTTTAAAATGACGAGAATATGTAAAAAATGACTTATTAGGCAAAATAGGTGAAAAATGCAAAAAATGACTTACAAAAATGGCTCCTTTTCTATTATTATTATTATTTCTATATTAACATAGAAGAAATGTCTTTACTAAAAGGCATTGTTCTAAAGTGAAAGAAAAACAAATTGACGTTTCATTAAAATCCGACCCCTACTGATGACATGGTACTAGTACTGTCATCGCAAAACCAGTTACAACTAGCATACAATAGTTTATCAGTATGGGCAGAAGAGAAATGACCTGGTACTTAATGAGAACAAGACTGTGATGACAGTATTCAGGAAAGAAGTTCCAGTCACACAAACTGATTATATCATTAACAAGTAACTGCAAAAAAGAATCACCTCAAATATTTGGGTAACACCTCCCAGACATAAGGCAGAGTCTTTACCTATACAGCAGAGCCTTTATCTATATTACCTATATATACTATATGAATGACAGTAGGTACCTAAACAATCATTAAAAACCTATTATGGACAAAGATTACTCCAGTAGTTACATACGGATTCAATCTCATATACGTGCATCTGTCGATGAAAAATCTCCAGACAATTGAAAAAGTAAAATTGACCTTGAGAAGGTGATCAAATATATCAAAATATACACTATTGAAAATATACACTTGGAAGTGTATATCAAAATATACACTTTCAAGTCTGGTACACAAACGTGCCAAAGAGCCCTTCAAAGAACTGAAGAACTACAGCTGTAGCTGCTCATGATGTCCACTAATACTTTTGAAGAAGCGATAAAGAAATTGGCAGGAAAAAGAAATTAATATGGAAAGAATTCTACTTTATAGACGCAATGACACCTGATTGGAAATGAGCCAACTGTGAACTCAGACATCTGATGACACGATTTGATGTATATGGTTTTCATCAGAGACACTGCAATAACAAAAAATTTCTCATGCCGGATTTTCAGTGTAAATGCCAAATAAGCAACAAGTACCATTATCATGTGACGATATGTGAAAAAATAAACATGGAAACCGAATTTTGCATCAGGGAGTAATAGATACCCACTTCGCACATACATGCAGTATTTGAAATTGTCTTCTGCATACACATAAGAAAACCAAAAGAATGCACGTGTGACTAGAAGACAAAAAATATCAGTGATATGTGAATAAATAATAACTAATAAACCTGCGGAGCATAAGTACAAACAAAACAGGGTATACAAATACAGAAGTGTAGATATACAAACACATATTAATGACCATTGAACTCACCTTAATACTTATTTAACTATTTATACAAACAAATACAATACAAACTTTTAGTATTGACTCACTCACACTTGAAATTTTACAATTTGCCCAAACAAAATGCACTAACTCTACATAGCAAGTTA